CTGATACATATTGTACTCTTTTTCTTGGATTATTGTAATTTAGTTGTGATTGCTTTTGGGTTATTTTTAAATAACCTATATTGTTTTAACAAGATGAATAGAAAAGGAGCAAATGCATACAAGAGGCGAGAATAAAAAAAAAGGTATAAATTTTTAAATCTTAAGTTTTATTGATTTCTTTAGTTGTTTTTATATGTTTTGTTTTGGATATTGAATTGTTAGTAATAAATAGAATAATAGAGTTATACTTTTCACCATCTGATCGTATGTTTCAGTCTTGGTTAATTCCAAGCTCCGGGTCGGGTCTTACAAAACCCTTCATAAATTTGAAGTCCTTCGCTTTAGTTTCTACTGTTTATACTGAAGCTGCTTCTCTGGTTTTGCTGCAGGAGCAAGATCCCAACACAAAAAAAATAAAACTTTGGTTGTTCCTCGTCGCTCTACTCCCCAATGTCTCCTCTTCCTCATCTCGCAAATCCAGCCGCAGAGGACTCCCAAAACCATCACCCTTTCTTTGGTTTAGCAGTGAGTCCCAGATCTCACACACAGGGAACTCCAATCCCAACTATCTCCTGTTCCTCGCTATGATCTCGTCGGTGCATTCTCAGTTAGCCATGCAACATCTTTCGTGACTGTATCATGAAGCTTAAGCCGCGGTCCCCCCCTCCCTCCAACGCTCTAGCTATCCTGTCGCTTAAGTTGCTGCCCGAGTCACGATTCCATTATTTTTGATATTGAATTGTTAGTAATAAATAGAATAATATAGTTATACTTTTCACCGTCTGACCGTGTGTTTCAGTATTGGTTAATTCCAAGCTCGGGACCGGGTCTTACAAAACCTTTCATACAAAACTTTTCATCAATTTGAAGTCCTTCGCTTTAGCTTCTATTGTTTATACCGAAGCCGTTTCTCTGGTTTTTCGTTTCTCTGGTTTTGCAGCAAGAGCAGGATCCCAACACAAAAAAAAAACTTTGGTTGTTCCTCATAACTCTACCCATGATGTCTCCTTATTCTCATCTTGCAAATCCGGCCATAGAGGACTCCCAAAACCATCGCCCCTTCTCTGGTTTAGCAGTGAGTCCCATATCGCATACACAAGGAACTCCAATCCCGACTATCTTCTGTTCCTCACTGAGATCTCGTCGGTGCATTCTCAGTTAGCTTTGCAATCTCCCTTATGACTATATCATGAAGCTTAAGCCGCAATCTCCCTCGCTCCAGTGATCCCGTTGCTTCAGTTGCTGCCCGAATCACGATTCCATTGCTCTAGTTTCGAGCTGAGGTAGCCGCTTCGTCTAGCTATGCAAGGACACGAAGAGGAAGGAAGAGAAGTGATGGGAACTAGGTTAAGCTCTGATACCACTTTGAAAGAGTTGTTCAAAACCTTTTCTGTATATTGATATCATGGACTTAAATAGAATATTTCAATATTTTATTAATAAACCCTTAGACTTCTTCAATATTATCTTCTAGAAATGGTTATTGATGCATTTATTAACATATATCAAATTGCTTATAAACATATATCAAGTTGCTTATAAACATATATTAATTACTTATAAAAATATGAATGACCAGCATATTATATGTTTTCTTATAAACACTGATACATATTGTACTCTTTTTCTTCGATTACTGTAATTTAGTTGTGATTGCTTCTGGATTATCTTTAAATAACTTATATTGTTTTAACAAGATGAATAGAAGAGGAGCAAATGCATACAAGAGGCGAGAATAAATAAAAAGGTATAAATTTTTAAATCTGAAGTTTTATTGATTTCTTTAGTTGTTTTTATATGTTTTGTTTTGGATATTGAATTGTTAGTAATAAATAGAATAATAGAGTTATACTTTTCACCGTCTAATCGTACGCTTCAGTTTTGGTTAATTCCTTCAGTCTTGGTTAATTCCAAGCTCAAACCCTTCATAAATTTGAAGTCCTTCGCTTTAGTTTCTATTGTTTATACCGAAGCTGCTTCTCTGGTTTTGCTGCAGGAGCAGGACCCCAACACAAAAAAATAAAACTTTGGTTGTTCCTCGTTGCTCTACTCCCCAATGTCTCCTCTTCCTCATCTCGCAAATCCATCCGCAGAGGACTCCCAAAACCATCACCCTTTCTCTAGTTTAGCAGTGAGTCCTAGATCTCACACACAGGGAACTCCAATCCCAACTATCTCCTGTTCCTCGCTATGATCTCGTCGGTGCATTCTCAGTTAGCCATGCAACCTCTTTCGTGACTGTATCATGAAGCTTAAGCCGCGTTCCCCCCCTCCCTCCAACGCTCTAGCTATCATGTCGCTTAAGTTGCTGCCCGAGTCACGATTCCATTGCTCTAGTTGCGGCCCGAGGTGGTCGCTTCTTCTTAGTATGCGAGGCGAAGAGGAAGGAAGAGAAGTGATGGGACTAGGTTAAGCTTTGATACCACTTTGACAGAATTGTTCAAAACCTTATCGGTATATTCATTTCATGGACTTAAATAGAGTATTGCAATATTTAACAAATAAATCCCTAGACTTCATCAATATTATCTTCTTACAAATAGGATCCTAAATAAGGTTAATTTCTCAACAAGTTCCCTTTTAAAATGTCGTGAAGCAGATATTTCATGATGATATATTGGTTCCTTTAGGACACTATCCCAATTCTATAAGCTAAAAATATTTAGTGGTAATTTGAATTGTTTATTATTTAAGATTACGCCATGGATTTTTGCTTTGGTTTTCAGTCAAAAGTTTCCTGTTATGTTAGTTTTTCATAATGTGATATCTACATATTGTGTCGTCTGTTCGTCTCCATTTTTTCATGAACCATAGTTGGTGTATTGTCTGAGATGGATGTAGGCTGCAGCATACCATGTTTTCTGGAATGTATAACTGTGTATTAGCTATGGTACTTGTTTACCAAGGAAAGTAATCCAATAATGATGATGACTAAGTGATATTTGTCATGTTTCTTATCAACAATGTATGTTATGATGTCTATCTCACATGGTGGATGTGCACCCTTTGAGATCATTGATACTATCACCCTGTAAATAATAAAACGAACAACAATTGGAAGATAATGGCCTTGCTCCTATGTGTTTTCCATACTCATGCATAAGTTGTGGCTCCCATATTTTGTCTTATGAAATTAGTTTATGAAATTGGCTGTAAGCATACAATGGATTGTGTGGTTGTCTCATCATCCATCCTGACGTACCTCATCTCCACCCAAAAAATAAAGAAAAAACTCCGGGTAGATGAAGGGCGAATGTCGATGGGGAACTTCTTCCCTCCCATTTATTAGCGTAGGAGTGATTACCAGGGATGAGTGAGGAAGATGCTTACATGGTTTTTGTGGGACATACTTTGATCATTGGAACTGTCTAGGTGGAGCTTAAGGCTATTCTTTCCATGAAGTGTATCATTGAGCCTTTACGGCTTTAAGAGAAGGGGATCATTGTGGAAGGTGAGAGCAACAAGATTATCAACTTCATTGGGGAGACTATAGGGGAAAGCTTGCCAAGCCCGACCGTAGGAGGGATCAGAATTGGCATTCCTTACTCTATTTAGGCAGGTAGTTTTTCACTTCATCACCAGAGATTGCACAGGGCTGCCTATCACTGTTCACAGCTTGCTATATGGGATAATTTTGCCTTGAAATATGCAAATCAGAACCATTATTTTTTTTTTCTCTTGTTAAAGATGAAAATGACATATTTTATACATACATAGTTGTGTATCTGCTCCTTTTTTGTACTTATTGCTTTGTTTGTACTTGTTGCTTTGTAGTTGAATTCAAAATGCAAACTTTCAAGGATAGAGTGGTCAAGAGGTATGATGGTGATATTTTAAAAAATGTGTAGGGCATGAGGCTCAAAGCTCACGATTCTTGTACTTTTCTTCCCTCTTTTATGGAACAGCTTGTTTCCATGATTCAACCACCTATGACCTTCCAAGTCACAATGGGACATCTTAACTACTTCCTTAGGTAAATCCCTTAGAAGAGTTATGTGCACACTGATCAAATTAACCTTGAATCATAGCAATATCCATCTCTTCATCACTCAAAGTGTCGAAATGTTACATTCATGGTACTTGATAGAGGAGGTTAAAAGTGCCAAGGTAATTAGGATGACCTTGAGTACATGTCTTTGGCGTCTATGATTCTTTGATTGATAAAAGCATTATAGCATATAATTTGATTATATGATCTTAACCTATGATTATGAGCAGAATCTGATATAGAAACATGCAGAATCATGTTAATCTCAAAATTTATCTCATTTTACTGAAGTTTACTGCTTTGTATAGAACCAAGCTGTTTCAATTTTCCTACAATGTTATCATCTTTAGTTTTTTTCATGAATAAACTTTCATAAATGATGTTTAAAATTGTTTGCTTGTCAATCATAGCATCATGATACCGGTGTTATCAAAGCGCAAAGCACACTGCAATGCACAAGGCTTAATTTCTATGTCAAGCACACTGCGAAGCAGTGCTTTTATTAATTAAAATGCCAATAAGTTATAGAAAACTATTAATGTAAAAATACCTATTAACAATTATAAAATATAAAGTATGAATTCAAAGTTAATATAAAAAAGATAAGAACATCGTGCAATACATAACTTGAAGGGAAATATTGAGGGTGAACCTACAAAATAAAATTTCGAACAAATTCTAATAGTTTGCTGCAATAATTATAAACTTAAAAATTTTAAAAAAAATCTTATAAATCAAAACAAATTCTAAGTTTTAAAACATAAATAAACTAATAAGGTCTCAAATTTCATAAAACAAGCTAAACCAATTAAGTAGACCTTTATTCTCTCTAACTAAAGTGTGAACTGGACTGACTGGTTTGCTTGAATGGGTTAAATCTCACTCCAACGAAGTGAAGAGGGTACACTTCGTTTCAGTTTGTACGTCAAGCGTGCTTTTTAAAAACATTGCATGATGCTGATGTGCTTATAAATGGTCATATTTATATTTTAAATACTGTTATTACTTTCAGGTGCTGCGGCAAGTGCATCACTGGGAGAAAATTCAGCAAGATGTGTGGAAGAAACGCTTCAAAGTTGCAATTCATTCAATTTATGTTTCCAAAGAAATAATTTTGCACTCTTTTCAGATTTATTTGCATCCGTTACTTTTAAAGCACAACTTGGGAATTTCCAGCGGTTTTTTTTAGATCTTACAAAATTTGATGCTCGACTAGATTTCCCTTCAGGCGCCACATTTCTATATGGTGCTGTGTCTCTAGCTAAGAAATTTTACAATTCTCAGAAGCCTGATGCATTAGTAATCCGTGCTATATGCCCAGATTTGAGGGTTTCTCTTCAGCAACAGGTAGATATCTCCCTCCTCTCTATTACACTGCTTTGTGTACGGATGGACTTATGCTTGATGTCTATGTATGTGATTGCATGAATTCTCCTGAAATAAATGTCTGATCTTAACTCTAGAGATAGTTTGTGTTACGTGCACCAACATTAAAGAATAAACTATGACATGACTGATATTCGTTTGAAGTGCATTTTATTTATTATTGTTTCTGTGAATCATTAAAATTTAACCATAGAAATAGAATTTACTAAGCGTTAGTTTAGTCTTGAGTATTTGCATTTTATCAAGCATATCTATTTGCTGAGACTTGTCCATATGTTTTCCAATTAACTTGTAGTTTTCTTTATTTTAATGGCAATCTATATGCAGGCTATTGTTTAGATTGCTATTAAATGAATAATAGTTCTTGTTTGGAACATAAAGATCTCTATCTGATTTAGTAATACTTTTTTCATCTGAAATGTGAATCTTATGCTCCCCAGTGACTGAATTAGTATATAATTCAGCTTGGTCCCACTGAATTCGTATCCATATCAATGGCGTGATCTACCCTAAAATTAAATTTGGATCATGGTGCCATCTTTGTGGAATGCTTGAACAGTAATTGTGGGCTGTATGAGTTTGAAAGTGTCTAACCATGAGTCAATCTCAACTTGATTAGCCCAAATCAGCATTACCAATTATATCAATTTCTTTCTCAAATGAAACTATGTCGTTCACACGGGAAAACCTTAGTTGGAGTTGCTCAACAAGTAGTTGAACTGGCCTCCAAGGTTTGGCCGCTCAGTGGAACATGTTGGTAGTCTTCATTGTTGTTGAAGTGGACATGTTTGTAAATAATTCATTCCAAAAGTGCAAAAAGTCTCTCATTTCTTTCAAATGTTATCCTCAGCTATTTTACGGTGCATTTTTTTATGAATGTTTTCTTAAAGGGTATTTGACACTTTACAAATTTTATAAGTGGACCTAGGTTCAATTCCTTGGGGGGCAATATTCCTTGTTCTCAATGTATCTATCATTCATAAACGTCTGTTGTCTCTTGCTGATGATGTAAATGTTGCTCGTTGATGATGTTGTGTTGTAGCATATTACCAACACCCAATGCTTTTTGTTGGTGACATTGCTCATTAGTAATGATATATTGCCCCTTGTTGCTGACCTGTGTTGTTGATTGCTGATGCTAATATTTTGATTGGTGCTGAAGTTTAGTACTGCTTGCAATCTTTTGCACGTTTTACATTGTTGCACTAATTATTTGCTTTCTTCCTTTCTATTATTTTAAGGTTGTCACTGATGGCATGTTGCCGCTTATCATTATATCTACAAGTTGTTGCTTATGGCACCATTTAGAGACATTGTTTTTTGCAAGGGTGCTACCTATGAAATTTAGAAGAACTTCCTTAGAGGAAAAACCTTCTTATTTTCTCATTGAACTAATACAAGCAAATAACAAATATATATAATGCTTATACTAACCCTCATATGATTGGAGTGAAAATTCAAATCATCATGATGAGTAGGAAAAAGTATATATAATAATGGATTATTGAAGGGAGGATAATTTGTTTCCCTCAAATGTAGCAGCTGACCTATGGTTTCCTAAATCATGGATGGGCCCATGTGGTCCACAAATATGCATATCAACACCCCCTTAAGTTGGGTTGTATATGTCATACATCTCAAACTTGTTGTTGAGATTACTAAAGTGGTGCCAAATAAGAGATTTGATATGAATGTCAGCAATCTGATACTGAGTTCGAATATAACTTAGTTGGACAACCCATTCATTGACCTTCTCAGAGATGGAGTGCCTATTAATCTCTATATGTTTGGTTCAACTATGTTGTACAAAAGTCTTTGAAATGTCAATGGATGATTAATTTTTAGTGAACATCTTAATAGTGTTTTTGTTATATATGTGTAGTTCCACAATTAATTTTTTTAGCGACATCCCTTCACAAATTCTTAGGGACAAGGCACGATATTCACGTTTTGCACTACTTGCCACCACGGCTTGATTTTTACTTCTCCAATTAACCAGATTATCCCATACAAATGAACAGTAACCCGTGATAGATCTTCTACCAGTCAGTTCTCTGCTCAGCTAGCATCAATATAGAACTCAATGTCACGGTTCTTAGTCTTCTTGAATATCAATTCACGTACTGGAATCATCTTTAAATACCTCAAGATTTGAATGACCGCTTCTAAATAATCTTCATTTGGATCATTGTTCATGTTGACTCACTAGAAAAAAAAATGTCAACTCTTGTATGTGACATATAATTAAATATCTTCAGAAGTTTTTGATATGTTCCTTTTTCAACTTTGGTGTTATCTTCTTTTTTGTACGCTCGTCGATTGGGATCCATAGGAGTTATTCCTGCCTCCTTTAATAAGTCAATGATATATTTTCTCT